TGATGTATTCGATATGCCAAACACAGTAACAAGTGTCACAATGGAGATGTTACTGGGCCCGCTCGAGCAAATCAATGAACAAAGGGAGGACCATGACCGTGAGTTATGTAGATATTCTCAGGTTTGATTTCCAAATATATTCTCATAATCATTAGGTTCAGAAGGCTGCGTAGGACTTGAAACTCTAGGTTAGGAGAGAGAAGAAAAGTGCCTGCCACAGAGGCAGGCAGAGGTGGGGAGTGGAAGGGAAACTGTGTGGACATTGGTGGTAGGAAATGTACACCAATGAAGAGATGGGTGTTGAAACATCATATAACTGAACCAATCATGAACAACCTTATAACTGTGTATCTCTTCGTGATTATAAAAAAAAAGAAACTCCAGGGTTATATTTTAGATACTATTTTAGGTGCCGTAGGATGCCATTGAAGTGTATCAGCCATTGGAATCACACAAACTGAGTTGTAATTTAAAAGGCAGGGTATAACTACATCAGCACATCCAACCCTCAGCAGAGGTAGCAGAGACAGCAGGATGTCAGCTTAGCCTCCTGACTGTCCTTGCTTATCCCTTATTGAAGCTGCTCATGCAGCTTAGTTGTTGCAGGTAACCAAAAACAGAGTTTGTGTTACTGTGGCAGTGTGGTGTGATGGGCCCAAGATGCGGTGATACTCAGAGGCAAAGTGGATCGCCAGGGCTGCTCCTGGGAAAGTATTCTATCAACTTATTCCAACCTCATTTCACTAGTGGCTGGGAGGCAGGACTTATTCAGTAGCACGCAACAACTGGGATGAGATTGAGGTCATAATTCTCTCTGTTTCTCCCACGGTATGAAACTCCTCTAAGTGAGGCAGATGGCAGCCCAGAGCTACTCTGCACTGACAGGAAGACAGGAGGCAGCATACCCTCCTCTAGACTCCTCCAGTTGATGGTCAGGTGATTCGAGTTCCCAAAGTTAAAGGAGCTGGTGTAATTAGAAGCTGTTGTGACTGAATAAAAATCCTTCCAGTCCTAGTCCTTATTTGCATTTATTTGTTCAATAAGGATATCTTAAATTTCTACTATGTGTTAGTCTTTTTCTGTTGTTTTTTTTTTGGGGGGGGACCACACCTGGCAGTGCTCAGGGCTTACTCCTGGCTCTGCACTCAGGGATCACTCTTGGTGGGGCCCGGAAGACCATATGAGATGCCAGGGATCGAACCTGGATTGGCATATACAAAGCAAAGACCTCATCTGCTCGACTGTCTCTCTGGCCCCACGTGCTAGATATTCTTTCAGAGAGTCTAGAACTTCTAGGGATCTAGCTCTGATGCTCTAGGTACCATAAAACAGTCAACTCCAGTTGATACCAGTCACAGTTCTGGTAGGGTTCAAATTCTGGAAAATCTTACCCACAGAAGTGTTGACAGAAATAGCTTGAGCTTTCCCCTAAGATTAGGGAAACAATTTTTAGAGGCAATGTAATTCTGAAAGGCTCTTGAGGAAATCACATTTAAATATATGACGACAGGGAATTGCTAAGAAGTTTGCCACATGTTGTTCACCTGGTTGTCCAGGGGCTATGTTGAACTGGTCAGGGTCTAGTGATTACTTGCTTCAGCAGCAGGTAATGCTCAGATGACCACAGGGCTGGAACATGTGCCAGGGTCAGATTATTAAAAGCCCTGCTTTTGTTTCATGTGGAAATATTTTTATATGGTTCGAAATGTTCTCCCAAAGAGATTTACTGCATCCCTTAGGAGTCAGGTGATTTGCTCAAGCATATTTTGTGAGGTTATTTTCTTAGGAAATAAAGACCACTGTCCATTTTCCAACACATGGATCAGTAAAGCAGACACACTCCCTCTGCTTAGTAACTAATTATTGCCCGAGGGAAATAGCAATGGAAAAAAAAATGATTTAGAATGGCAGCAAAAAATTGCCTTTCTCTGTTTCAGCGGAATGGGTGAACGTAGAAAAGGAAACAATTTAAGGGCTGACCAGGATTCAATCCCCAGAATCCCATATGGTTCCCGGAGCCCCACTAGAAGTGATCCCTGAGCACAGAGTCAGGAGTCATCCCTGAGCACTGATGCGTGAGAACCCTCCCCTGCCCCTGCCAAAAACCCAACCAATCAGCCCTTCTGGAAAACAGTATGGATGATTCTCAAAAAATTAGAAATCGAGCTCCCATTTGACCCAGCAATACCACTCCTGGGAATATGCCCCAGAGAGGCAAAAAAGTATAGTCGAAGTGACATCTGCACTTGTTTGTTCATTGCAGCACTCTTTACAATAGCCAGAATTTGGAAAAAACCCGAGTGCCCGAGAACAGAAGACTGGTTAAAGAAACTTTGGTACATCTACACAATGGAGTACTATGTAGCTGTTAAAAAAGATGAAGTCATGAAATTTACATACAAGTGGTACCACATGGAAAGTATCATGTTAAGCAAAATGAGTCAGAAAGAGAAGGATAGACATAGAAAGATTGCATTCATCTGGGGAATATAAAGTAACAAAATAGGAGACTAACACCCAAGAGTGGCCGAGATTAGTACCAGGAGTTTTGCTCCATGGCTTGGAGTCCAGCCACACACTCTAGGGGAAAAGGGAGCTCAGATAGAGAAGGGAGCACCAAATAAAGGATGTTTGGAGGATCCTCCCAGGATGGGAGAAGCATGCTGAAAGGAGACTACAGACCAAACATGATTGCCACTCAATGCCTCTCTTGCAAACCACAGAACCCAAAAGGAGAGAGAGAACAAAAGGGAATGCCCAGCCACAGAGGCAGGGTGGGATGGGGGGATGGGGGGTGGGAGGGATACTAGGACCCGTGGTGGTGGAAAATGGGCACTGGTGGAGGGATGGGTGTTTGATCATTGTACAATTGAAACCCAAGCACAAAAATTTGTAAATCTACAACTGTACCTCAAGCTGTTTCACTAACAAAAATTTTTTAAAAAATGTGAATGATGGAGAATGGGCACTGGTGGAGGGATGGGCACTGGATCATTGTATAACTGAAACCCAGGGACAAAAATTTGTAAGTCTAAAAAAAAAGAAAGAAGAAAGGAGAAACTGGTAAAATCTCAGTGCTGGGACAAATAGAGACGTTACTGGTGCCTGCTTGAGTAAATCAATGAACAACGAATGACATAAGTGATTATTTTGTCAATGTAAACATGTTCTATAATTTGTGTGTATGTAAAAAAATTAAACAAACTGACTGGTTCTGTCATACCTGAAAAAAAAAAAACAACCAACAAAAAAAGGTGTCCTTCTCTACTGCATTGGCTAATGAGACCTCTGAGTCAGTGAAAGGTCTATTTTCACCCAAGTTCCATTTTGCATCACTGCATAGGTCTCTTCTTCAGGCAATCCCCCCTTTCCAGTATATTTCAATGGTGTTAAGAAGTGCAAAGAAAGGGCAGCCTTAGAGGAGGAAAGAAGCACGCAGTATTGTCCGGATTAGTAAAAAGAGAGACCCAGAGGCTCTGTAGTCTTAAGTACAATTCAGAAAGATTTTAATAAACAGCCACTGAATATTGCGCAGAAGCATATGGAAACACAGTTTCTACAGAGGCAAAAGTCAAAAGTCCACTGAAAGTCCATGAGACAATCATTAACAGCCCCCCACCCCCCCCACCCCACGTATTCACAACACAGCACTCTGCTAGTTACAGAATGATCTAGACAGGCTTTTTGAAATAGTGGGACCGGCATGCATCATCCCAGCTATGGCAAGAAAGCAGGGGCTGGGGGAAAGATGGGTGAAAAGGCAACCAGTAGCTAACGGTAGACCCCTTCGGAGCTTTGTTCAGGGCCGGACAGGGAAGCTCTGCTGTTGGTGCCACCTGTGGCTGGAGCTTAGGCTCTTAGGAGACGCTGACCTATCAGTTGTGAATCTCCTCTGAGCTGTGCTGCGGAGAACTGCTTTCTTTGGGGATGTCGTCACTTTCTAAAACTCTGTTGGTAGACAGTGGAACTGCACTTGGGACCTACGGGCCTGTGAAGACGGGGAGGCAAGCTGGACCTGACTACTTTCTTAGTCCTGCCATCATTTGAGCCTTCAGATATGGGCATGTGATAACTCTCTGTTACAGGCACTTTTAAGGAGCCTAGAAAAATCAGTTTGTCTTCCTTAGAAAACCTTTCCAGTTATCATTGACTTTTATCCACATTAGGAACAAATGATGCCAAGTGGTCCCTACATCATATATTATCCAGCTGGTAATAAAGTTACTGATTTATGTGACCCAGTTGACTAACAGGGCTGAATCCTTATCCTTAGAATTGGCATCGGCGAAAATCAGAGGTCCCTTACATAGGGGTAGTAAAATTCTCAGGTTGTGGAAGGTTTGGAAAATTGATGGGACTTCTATCTGTTCATGACCTTTTCTTTTAAGCCAGATTTTTAATCTAACCTTATTCCTGCACCAAATCTGTTGTTCCATCGGTATCAGACTCCTTGGCTTGTCCAGGAGGGGGAAAACATATCTCACTAATCTTTACAAAGTTCCGGTGTAGGGATTTGATCTACATCCTTTTGTTTTTATTTGTTTCTTGTTAGTATACATAGAAAGAAAGATTTTATCCTTTTCCTGATGAGTCTGCATGTGGTAATGAGCTCAAATCACTCAAGTATCTAGATACCAGAAGGGGATCAGAGAGTCTGAGGAAGAAGGCTTTTCAGAAGAAAAGGTACTCCAAGAGGGTCATATTTTCCTGAAAGGCTGAACATGGCAGGCAACAGCCATCTTGATGCATTGCTTGTCCCCTTGGATCTGTGTTGGCCATCCACGATAGAGTGGTGAGGCCCAATCTTTCTAACTAACCTCCAAGCCAACAAGAGGGCTGAGGGGCTTGTTCATAGGTTAGCACTAGCTCTTGCATTTGATCCTAGTACTTTGTGCCTGTGGGCCCTGTTCGTAAACAGGGTATGGCCGGAAATACCTTGCCATAGCCCAACCTGGCCCCCTTCCAAGTTAGAATCGTGTGACCTGAAACAATCAACAGTTTTCTTGCTTTGAACCTCTCAAAAAGCCAAATCATCCACTGGGAGGGGACTATTGTCTCCTGTTCTTTCTGCAGCGGGCAGAGGGCAAATGAATGCATGCAGTATTGTGGGCTGGGGAGACAGGCAGGCTAAGATGGCCAACTGGAAAAATGGCAGTGTTCGGCTCTGATGAGGGCACACTCACTAATGTTCGTGGGACAAGTACAATTTTTTCATTACTTTTTTCACCGAGACTCAAATATGAACTGGAGTCAGAGCTTGGTAGAGGGTCAAAACAAAGATCTTGAAACACATCAAGGGGAGCTCCGGGGTTAGGGGCCTGGTTGCCTCCTGGGGGAGAGAGTGCTCTGGGTGTGGCCTCACCACTATCTACTGTTTACGGATCATGCCCTTGATAGCTGTCTCCCTGTTCACGTAGGTAGCCCAGTACACCAGGTTGAAAATGGCAAAGAGCACTGGGAAGATTATGCGGGAAATTTTGTCAACCTTGCTGACACTGTTGTAGGTCTTGGTCTCAGCTGGGATTTCCTGCACGTAGGTAGTGGTCTTGGGAGAAGCGATGAGCGTCGGGGTTGAGGTTGCACTGGCGGCAGCGGCAGCGCCGGCGCCCTGGGGGATGGTAGTGAACTCGGTGTCCTTGGCCAGGTTGATGGGATAAGTGGTCCCCACGATGTTGAAGGTGGTGCTCGTTTTCTTCGCCGGGGCTGCTGGAGTCTTTTTCTGGTGGGACGTAGGAGGCAGAAAGAGCAAGGGCAGAGGGGAAACAAAATAAGAGCTAATTCAGAACGAGACAGAGCATCTTCAGAGACTTCAGGAAGGGGAGTCATGAGAGAAGTGAATGGGGTGTGAAACCCACAGCAACACACCGGCCAGCTCTAATTAAAGATGCATTTGAAAACACAAAACTCCAATGATCCCGACTTAGTAGCCATGTGGCATGAGCCAGGCTACCTCTATTCCTTGAGTTACTTTTGCAAAATGAAGATTAAAACATTTGGAGGTTGTTGAGAGCCTTGAATAAGAGAATGGGAGTAGAAACCACTGGAAGACGGAAATCTGGTTCCACAGAGGGTCTCATATACGCAAGTGATCTGATCCTCAGAGCAACCCTAGGTGATAGGTCGCTGAGCTTATTTCTATTTGACAGACAAGAGAAATCAGCTTAGACTGAGTGGCAGAACCCACACTTGCCACCTGGGCTCATGGCATGGACCTGGGGCTCGGCTTTTTGAGGGACGTATATTTTCTGTCCACCTAAGAAAAACACCCTCAAGGATTTGATCATCAAGTGGCACATCTCCCATGAGGAAGAGTGCTCAGAGAGTCTGAAAGTCATTTTGTCTTTATGTCACAATAAATAGTATGTCCCACTTCCATGCATTATTGCGATTGTAGCTCCCCCTTCAAACAGGAGAGCAAGCTGGCGAGTGCACCAAGGATTTGTAGCTCAGCCCTGCTCCAGGCAGGACCCTCAGCCACCCCAGGTGCCTCTGCAAAACTTTCTCTCCGAAACACCAGGGTGTTGCCTAGATGCTGCCACTCAGAGCGTTTTGTCAAAGGAAGGAAAAAAAAGAAACTCAATGGGAACCACACATGCACACATGCACCCCTACATTCTCACAAATACAACTTGTGTATACATGGAAACTTCATTTGGAAGAGAGAAGAGGTGACAGAGTTGACACCTGGATCAAAATTAAGGAAGAGAATGAGAAATAGGAGACGCTGAGGGAGCAGACAAGTGCCAGATGGACCAAAGCTAGTGATGCAGTCCAGAGTTAGGACTGTCTGTGGCCTCCTCCTCCCACACAGGCTTTTCTTCCCTCTACCCCTCTATGTTCCAAGGGAAAGGCCATGTTAGATGAGCTTCAGCCCAAGACTATTTGATAAACTGTGTCAGAGAGCTGTGCCATCATTTCACACTTCTCTTCTTGTCTCCTTTCTATATGGCACTGCATGCATGTCCAAGCATCTGCTTTATTTCTTTACTCCTCCACTTCCTTCTTGATCCCTCTCTGGGTTTCTTCACTTCTAATAAATGTTGCTGTGTTGTCTCTGGAAAGAAAGATGGCGGCCGCATGGGAGCCTTGTGGAAAACAGGTTTGAGCCGGGGCTGGCGGGAGCGGCAGGGACCTCATGGGAAGGGGGGCTTTGTGGGCCGTCCCCCACGCCCCACCGAGGTCGCCAGCTGCCCCCCACGAGCGGCTCTCCGGCACGGCCACGACTCCAGGGCACAGAAACCAATCTCTTAACTAGCTAACTTTTAATAGAAATTCTTCCAGGGTCAATAAGTAAAATAGCAGAAATTCAAAACCGCGCGGCCGCTATTGCGGCCGCGCGACATCATTTTATTCTTAAACTAAGTTGTAGAAAGCAAATCATTTCACAACGCTGTTTCAGCATGTCTGATTGTGGGGGGTGGGTCGTAAACTCTAAACAATAATTGTGCATCTTCTATCGAAATAATCTATCTAGTCAAAGTAGATAGAGTATTAACTAGAACTCATCTGCCTCACAAGAATTGGGAGGGGTGGGAGGTGGGGGTCTATTGGGGTTCGGGGTTAAAAATGAGTATTGGTAAAGGGAAATGTGTTTGGTATCTACATGACTGAGACCTAAACCCGAAAGCTCTGTAACTTTTCCCACAGTGATTCAATAAATAAATAAATTATAAAAAAAATGCATAATTAACTGACCTTAAACTGCAATAAAAATAATAAGCTTTTTCTTTTTATGGTGTTATATGCATAATAAATTTATTTTTTCCTATTGTAAAGGACAAAAAAGTCTATGAAAATATTTTAAAGACCCAGATGTTTTTGTTGTGTTCTCCTTTAAACTACTATTATAAATGAAATAGATTTTAAAATTAATCAATTAAAAAAAATCAAAAAAAAATAAATGTTGCTGTGTTTCTCTTAATTTTTCTACTTCTTTTCTTCTGTACTTCAGAGTTCCCAGCATGTTTGTTTGTGGGGCCATCCTTGACGGTATTCAGGGGCTAATTCAGGCTCTGTACTCAGGAATCACTCCTGGTGAGCTCAGGGGACCAATAGGATACCAGGTATGGAATCCAGGTTGGCCACATGCAAAGCACGTGCCCTGTCCACTGTACTATCTCTCTGGTTCCTTTGCAGCATTTTGATCCCCGCTCTCCTTTAGGCCACGCTGCCATTTATCTTCCCCATCCTAATAAACATTGTCTAGCATTCGCTGACTATCTACTGGGTTGAGATCTAAGCTGTTCTGTAGGGCAAAGTTGAAGGATGAATAGACGAGTTGGCTTCAGTTCTCTTTCTGAGGATATCACAGCGCAGTAGGGGAGAGCTTTCTGAGCACAGCACTTCCAGACGCTGTGATCAGAGAGGAGCAGAGTGGTGTGCGAATTCTACAGAGGAAGGGTCAAAGTACCTACGGCTACTGGAAACCACAACTCAGGAATGACAACGAACTCTGTGACATGTGTTGCAGAACAAGAGGATGCGGAAAAGAAGTGCACAGGTGAAGAGGACTATTCGTTGCGTGACAAGGATTTTGCTTTTGCTGGATCAGAGTGCTTATGGCAAAGACCTGGAATATTATGCTCTTTGGGCAGGGAGGGCAGCTGCTAAAGTAAATAGACAGTTTAACAGGCCACCTTCAAAGCAATGCTGTTCCTGCTTTCTGAGGATTGTAGTCACATTGCTACAAGAGGAGGACAGAATCGGAGGCTTTGAAGAGCCTTGTAAATGGTTTAAACACCACATGGTATTCATTTATAATTAGCAGATTCATTTTGTGAATAGAATCCTGCTGATAAATGCCTCTACTTCCAAATAAAAGAATACTTGCTTGCTTATTAATTTTCTTAGTAATCTCTTTTTGTTTTCCTCGGGTATACCAAGAAAAAAAATACTACCCTGACTTTGCTAGACACGTTTGCAAGTTTATTTACCTCCTCTTATAAGCTTATTATGACTTAGTCTGAGAAACAATCACTCCTGATAGTAAACACTTCCTTTCGCTCCATAGGCACTTCGTGTTTGGAAGACGGGGAGAATGAGCAGCTGATTTCATTGCACCTATTTTCAGTAAGAAAATTACCTTTCAACTTCTATTGTCCTTCCCAACATTTTAATCAGTCACTAGTATCTTTACCTACATTGGCAAAGGAGGAAATCAAACTGTTATCTAAAAATCAGAAATAACAGCCTGAGTGATAGTACAGCAGGTAGGGCTCTTGCCTTGCATGTGATCAACCCCAGTTTAATTCCTGGCATCACATACTATCTCCTGTGCATTGCCATAATTCCTGAGTAAAGAGGTAGGACTAAGCTCTGAGTCTGTCAGGTGTGGCTCAAAAATCAAGAAATAAATAAATAAAAAGTAAAGGGGAAATTGATGTTAATATTCTAATATATCTCTGTACTCTGAAATTGCATAGATTCTAACTAGAACTAGACTGATTTGATCAGTGTGGGACTGTATTCCTAACTTCCAGACATTTGCCTCTTCTTAGGCAAGTAAAAGACAAGTGTCCTGTCACTAATGGGTGTCAATTCCTAGTTTGTTCCTGCTGATTCTAAACCCTCTCCTAGACAATATGCCACTATAATTTATCTTGTCATCATTTCCACATTGCAAAATAGCATCTATTCATATAATGGAATATTAGCTAGTCTTAAAGAAGGAAGGGCATTATGAGACATACTACACAATGCAGATGGACTTTGATGCTACGTGAAATAAGCCCATCACAAAAGATGTCTGATTCCACATATATGAGGAACTTAGAGTGGGTAGATTCATAAGAATAAAATACAATCCCGGGGAGGTATCTGGGGATAACGTGTGGTGGTTGTTTTGCAGGAAAAGAGTTTTAGTAACGTGGGACTTGAAACTTCAAGAGGGATGTCATTCAACTTGCAGCGAACAGACACTCCTTTGATCCCAGGCACCATAAACAGGTCCCTGAGCACTGCCAGAGGTCAGTCCTGAGAATGGAGCCAGGAAAATTTCCTGAACACTGCTGAATGTGGCCCAAATCATCCTTCCTCTAAAAAAGCCTCAGTGTGCAAGATGGAAATGGTTCTTGAAATGACATGTACAAATACGTGTACATACTTAACACAACTGAACCATGTACTCGAATGATTAAGATGGTAAATATCAGTATATGAAGTGAGGAAGGTTACAGTCAGAGAGAAGTAAAATGTTAGGAAGAAGTACAGGAAGTACTCAGAAGTAAATGATGAGTCCAGCAAATTTCAAAGAAACAAAAAGCAACATTCTGGATTTGGAGGCATTTTATAAGAAAACAGAAAGTGGAATATTGCAGGTAAAAGAAAATTGAGTACTTCTACCAATTTTTGGAGAAGCTTATGGGAATATTATCATAGTTGATCATGGATAAAAAAAATCTCTTGTGGGTTATGACTACTGTTGATGAATATAACTTAACTCATGGCAAGTATTACTACTTCCCTACAGAAAAATGCCAAGATGTGACTTGGATTGTGGCTACATTTACAGGAATGCTCTATATATTCGAAAGCCATCAATGAAACGAAATGAAACAAACTTTCCCAAGATTTGGATGAAAGTTAATTTTATTATCTATTGTTAAATAAGATAAAATATTCTTCTAGGGCATCCTTGTTTGCAAAAAAAAAGCAGTGTAAGAATTACTATGTTAAACCAAATAAAGGTGTTGGGAGGATCCTCCCAGGATGGGAGAAGCA